TCAGAAATAAAAAAGACTTTTTTTCTCCAGTATATTTTCTTGCAAAGGATGATCTGCTAAACAAAAAGCCTGATTTCTGTTTTGAATTTCTGCATTTCTCATGTCATGTCATTTTTCATTGTCATTAGCATTACATGTTAAATCAGCAGGATTTCCCATATCAATCCTGTGTTTTTGTTTATGGCAATAAATGTGACATTTAAAGGCTGAAAATTTACAAAATACTCTACTGCATCCAGCAAAAACACATTTGAAAGACACATTTGGTATACAAGTATGGCTTTGCATGTGCCTCACGTAGGCTAAGATACTGCTGCAGGTCTTGGAACAAATGTTGCACCTTACCATTTTTGTATGTTCATTGCAAGATGCACAAATACTCACTTAAGTACAATAAACACACTATAAACGCAAAATCAAACGAAAACTAGATATGCAAATGGTATACCGAACCTTGTGTTTGAATTATTTAAACTTTCAACTCCTGAAAACACAATATCTGAATATTCACTCTTGTGCACTACCTGCTGCTGCTAATTAATGTGTGCTGCAGAGTGACCTGCTACTTGCAGAGAAGCTATTAGCTTAGCTACATTCTTTACTGGCTTCTGTAGTAATACTGTACCCTGACCACAAACTGTACATAGGTACAATAAAATAAATTAAATAAAATTATAAAGTTCACACATGACATTAAACATTTCAAACCACAACTTACTCCCAGTATTTGCTCCGAAGACGTGTCAACTAATGCTAATCAGACACCAAGCTCAGCTTCGTTTCAGTCATCTTAAATTATGTCACAAAATGGGTAACCAGACTCACAAATACAGTTTCAATCTCTCAGTACAATGCTGCTTACATTTTCTGTTGATTCATTAAAAGAAGATGCTGGAAATAACTAAAAGGGCATGTGGCATGTGGCTCACTCCTCTACCGTGGAAAAATACTGCATTATACCGTGAAATTGTACGGTAGTCTGCTGTTAGCAATCAGCCTTTTTTTAGCCCCCTAAAAGCATCAGATTGTACAGAATTTTACCGTATTCTGGAAAAACAGTAAATTACTGTTAGAATTTGGCCATATTTTTACAGCATTTTTTTACAGTGTATGGAATATACACTGATCAGCCGTAACATTAAAAACACTAACAGATTAAGTGAATAACATTGATTAGCTAGTTATAATGGCACCTGTCAAGGGTACCATCATATATGGCGACTGAACAGTCAATTCTTGAAGTTTATATTTTGGAAGCAGGAAAAATGGTCAAGTGTAAGAATCAGAGCGATGATTCTTACAGCCAAATCGTGATGGATAGATGCTCATGGCGCAGAACCTGAATAAAGAAATCTCAGGTGTCCTCTCAAAAAAAATGTAAACAAGTATCAGATTAGTGAAAACCAACTGGGTCAGAGCATCTCCAAAATGGCAAGTCAAATGCCATGTTAATTTCGTTGATGAAAACTATTACAAAGATTATTCATCAAGAAATATTTTTCATTGAAGAAAATGAAACAATAAAAAAATCTAATGATTCTATGCTGTCAGAGAATGTAACAAAACAAATAGACAACGTCTGGAAGAGATGAATTCGAAACAGATCAGAAATAGTATCTTTATTCAGTGTTGACTGCAGCTGCGCATGTTTGGATAATGTTGATCTAATGGGCTTCAAGTATGTATATGCAGTTCTGTCTCTAAAGGCTGTCTATGAACTCCTCATGTCTGTGCAAATTTTATAGTGCAGGACCCCCCACTCACTCGCGTCGGGAACAGGTAAGCAGGCGAAGGGAGTCTTAGATACGAATAAACGGGATTTATTGCGGGGTAACACACTCCAAAAACACAGCAACGTTAATGACCAGACTGGGGAAAACATACCTAACTCAGACTTAAATACATTGCACTAATGACAGCAACAAGTAACAACTGGAAAACACGGGGAATCCACACGGGGTAAATAAGGGGGCGTGGCACACGGAAGGAGTGGACGAGCGGGGCATGACACACCCGCTCTTTGAATTTTATTATGGGACCTCCTCTCACCTCAGAGAATTTTACTGGCAAGATTTAAAAATATCGTCAACCCAGTTAAATGGGAACATTACTAGAACTTTATCCAGCGTTACAATGAGGTCTTCTCAAAGTTGGTAGTAAACGTTATTGCTGTAATGTTAATGGAACATTGCTCCATATGTTACAGTTTAAAAAAGGTTCTGTGAATGTCAGTACAATAACACTATTACCAGGACATCCTTTAACGCTATTAATGTTGAAAAATATTGCTTTGTAATACATATTATAAAAGTAGTATATGTGTATACCCATGACCTTTGAGGTGTAAGGTGACAGTGTAACCTGCTGCTGTACCATGCCCTTAATTGTTTTGATATTGTTAGTCTTATTTGTTGTAGTTGTAGTAGTGGGATAACATTCTGGGAACATCAGGAAAATTGGACACTGGACTGAATGTTTGGATACCTTAATCGTAATGTTCTTTGAATGTTTATAGAATGAAAAATTGTTTGCGGGACAAATACTGTATATTGCTGTGTAGTCTCTGGACAGTATGATGGAAGCCTAGTCTATGCCACAGTCAGCTTTAGGAAAGAAAAAATGTATCGATATAAGGAAACCTTACACAGATGTGCTTAAACCCACAGCCATATTGTCACTGCTGTTATTTGTTCAATATTTTAACTAAAGTTTACAAAAGCTTGAAGAAACTTGAAGGTAAATGGGAGACCCCAGCTTGCCAGCTGGTGAGGGTAGCAATTCTATGCTAATGTCACAGCATATATTTCAGAATGGTTAGTCCGAGAGAAGAAATTAAATATGCCTCCTATAATTTGTATATATGAGTTCATTCTAGAAACCGGTAACATATGTGATTAAATCATGGGTTGGGCACCCCTGGTATATAGGCTATATAATGGTGTTGCTGTAGAAAGCGCGACCTTCCCGAAGGCCAGTCAGTGCCTGTGGACAAAGCACAGTTTACATTACAATATGATGACTGGTTCTTCGACACAGCCCGGCTGAGGAAGAACATTAAGTTACATTGTCTTACTATCTAGTACTCAAGGCTAAGCACTGCCTAAGCAATTTGCTGATTGAAAAAGCAGAGGCCTTATGTTCTATTTAGTCTGTAAATGGTCTCTCCAAGGCTGAATGTTTTGTGTGTGCTGTTTGAGGTATGTGTCATTCACAAACCTGTATTCATACTCCAAGGTGACTTGTGGAAAAAGACACTGTAACAGAATTAATCTAAGCAAGTATATTCATTGCCAATTATTTAGGGAGACCCTGGGTTGGGGGGTAGCCAGCCCATGGCAGGGTAAATTCACAAAAATCATACACTATGGGCAATTTATAGTCAGTAATTGATAACAACAGAAGGAAACTCCCACAACAAGAGAAGATCATTCAAATCTCACAAAAACACAGCAGTATCCCACAATCCCACAGATGTAGGACGACAGTACTATCCACTGACTCAACATACCACCTTCAACACCACACACTTACAAGTGTTCTATAAAAAAAGAGAATAAAATAAATAAATAAAACCTTGACGTTGCTAAGAAACGCGGGGGGTCCACCCCTTCCTTTTCATGGATTTTAATTTAAGCACCCGACGCCATGTTCTCCTGAAAAAAGGAAATTGTTCCTTGCGGAAAAACATACGTATTCAATGCACTGGACTTCACACAGTGCATGTCGCTACTGTTACAAAAGTGGGTGAAAATATCCATGTATAATGTATATCAAATTTTGCCGAAATTATTTGATTGGGGAGGAAAACGCGAAAGGGTCAGATGAATCAAAGGAATATGAAGGTACGGTACTTTGCAAAAGAGCTGTATTTATACGGGTAGACATTTGATAATCATAGTGAATATACATTTTGAGTTATTTATTCATATATATCGTTTTAGATTTATTTGCATATTGGTGCATTAATAGTCTTATTGGATGTTAAGAAAAGAAACGCATCAACGTATTTGACGTCGCTTTCTCCCTGATTGCAGAGGTTCAGAGAGGGATTCGTATTTACCGAACGATGTCCATCATCCTGTTCGTCCTCACCGTGATCCTCGCTGCCGCTGTCATCGCCCTGTGTGCCCGCAGTCTGTATCTATACAATACATAACGTTTTTTAATATGCAGGAAGGCTTCGTTTTTGGTTTTGTGAATTCTGTAACTCTGTCTCTCTCCCTCTTTTTAAAAGTTAATATAAGAAGCACTTGTTTTAAGGAAGAGATTCAAGAGAAGGTCTGCGATGTGCAGCTTTGCAATGAGTTATATCCAGCAGTTTCCTCAGAAAAAAAAGGTGAGTTTGTTCCTAGTGATGATCCACGTGTGTTGAATATTATTTTAATGTAGCTGTTTCTACATTCATGTTATAGTGGAATATATTAGCACTATTATACAGTACAATCAGTTCCAGAAAGTTTCAGTGCTTTTTCTTTTTCTCAGATTTATTTATATACGACTACTGTAATTTCATTTTCAGGAGCAACAGTTTCTTCTGTTCTGTTTTTCCATTTCTAGTGTTTTTTATGTATGTTATAGTGATAAGTACATTATAATAATCCATTATTTATATAGCACTGAAGTAAAGCTCTAAGTGCTTCACATATGGGATTAAAATAAGAACCAAGAATGTTAATAATCTCCTGTATTTCACAGATGCTGGATGCCACCGATGTGGTCAAGGTTGGCTGCAGTTTGAAAACTGGTGCTTTTTCCTGTCCAGTGCAAGGGAGAGCTGGAGCCGCAGCAGAGAGCAGTGCAGGAAGTGGGGCGCCGATCTGGCCGTCATCGACAACCAGCGAGTGCAGGTGCTGAGCTCTGCCCGCAGCACTTCGCTGGATAACCAGAGTCTTCTGTGAAGGCTCTCTCACAATTCTGAAACCCAGAGCTGCTCTCTTTCTTCTTACAGGCATTTCTTACTGGGAAGGGAAACCTGGTGTATTGGATTGGGCTAAGTCGGTCGACAGGTGGAGAATGGACCTGGATAAACCAGACCATGCTTGCAGACAGGTGAGAGTACAAAGTCGCATGGCCATGTACTGTAGTATTGTTCCTACCAGTGGTAAAAGTCTCGAATTCAGCATTGAAGTGCATCCGGTACCTCTGTCAGGTGGTACCTCTCTCAGGTGGTATCTCTCTTAGGTGGTACCTCTCTCAGGTGGTAGCTGTCTCCTTTATCCTCATCATTCTTTCTGTGATGATTGTCAAATAAAGGATTTAACATATGGAGATCTTCCAGGCAGCAATGGCTGCACACCATTATAAGAGAGTAAGCCTTCTTCTCTATCTCCTGTAGTTACTGGGCCCCCGGAGCAAATGGGCAGAATTGCGGGTGCCTGATGGGGAAGCAATTGCCCAGTAGAAGCTGGAATTCCGCGCCGTGTACGCATTACACTGCCTACATCTGCCAGAAGGTGGTGTGAGGCTAGTCTGTTACTTGCTTTTTCCCTCTCTCTGAATTACTAGGCAGCTGAATTACTTAGCAAGATGACTAATCAAACCTTTTATCAGGAGTTTAGCGTAATGAGTTAATCATGTTAGCCTTTCAGATGTGTTAATTTCCAGCTTAAGCCACTACTTCAACATATATGTGCAATTATATATTTTTACTTGCTTGTGATTTTTTAAAATCTGATGGCCATGATGGTTATGTTGCACTACAGTAGATGCTGCCCTAAATGGACAGGTTCAGCCACAGAGCCCTATCTTCTACTACAGTGTGTGTTGAACCTTGCACTTTTATTGTACGTTAAAGTAAAACCATGTTGACTAACACACTGCTTGCATTTTTGCACTAAGATCACAACACTGTTTACTCTGAATGATTTGCTGTAACTTCTGTCCCATTCCCAAAATGACATTAAACAGCTGTTCATATATTTGTAATCCATTTTTATTCTTTGAGAGACAGAAAAGTGAGACATGGTGGCAATATGTAAACAGTGCCAGTAAAGTTGTAGGATTCAAGAGCTTTTTCTACACACAGTATTATTATTAATCTCGTAAATCTCTGCACACCGGTATAATGCTTATATGGGGAAGAATTTTTTTTATATGTCACATATAATTTCTTCAGTTCTGTGTCCAGTTCCTGCACATCTCCCTTAGTATTATACAGTGAATGTGTATTTAATCTATAGAAATTGTTCTGCTTGGTTTGATTACACTATATATGCCTCTCAGGGCAGGTTCATTTTTGTTTTGGCTTCCTTTTGCTTTTGCGCCTCATAAGATGCCTTAAGTGCTTGCCAATGCCTCTTCCCCCCTCTTCTGCCTCCTCCACCCAAAATTATTGGCTTGGCTTTGCAAACAATGTCCTCCAAAGATGAGACCTGCTCTTTTTTCCCACTATTGTTCAAAAACAAGTTAGAGTTAGAGTGATGCGTCTTCTTTCTTTCCTTCTCGTTTTTTTCTTCCACTCTGGTTTGGGCAAAGGCATGTTGTTATTGTTCTTTTAATGCTTCTACAAAGTAAATGACAATAATGTTCAAAGTTCAACACTGTTTATGGAGTCACTCTGGACCAGATGATTGCTTACCTGAGATACCAGCAATCCCCCAGATTGTAGTCTGCTCCATTCACCCCCATCCGAGGCCAGAGACATCGGGGTAATCTTCTTTCCAGCATTAGTATGGTGGCAACTAACTAAAATGTGAGGATCGAGAGGAACATAGCAAAATGATGAAAAGCCTTCATGGCATTTAGTTGTTGAATTAATTATGTAGGAAACAGCAATGTTTTTCTCGGACAGCCCCCCCTCCCAAAAATAGGCCCCAGATCAGCACCTATACAATGTTCCTGGGAAATATGAAAAAGATCCATGTAATACTTTTAGAGTTACTGCCTTCAGAAGATCGACTGTCCTCTGCAGCCACCCTTTCCACCTTTTGATACTACTTAGTATCAAATGCTGCTCAAAATTTCCTGTGATTTGTCTGAAGATTAAATCATATGTAGATCTTCATCCATATAATGTTTTGGTGAAGTAAGAGTAAGCTCTATCACATTCATAAGGTTAAGGGTCATTTGTGGTCATGTGCTCATCCTTCACTTTGCTGCCACTAAGAGATTTTGTTTTAATTTTTTTGCAATTTGTAGCAAAATAAAATCAGTTATAGAGCTTCGGAAATAAAAAAAAATGTGCCTGTGTATTTTGAGAAAGATTTAACAAATTTGGTTGAGTTATTTTGGAAATGAAATGAGAGTCTGCGAATACCCTTCTGTTTGCTACCACTATGCAGTGCTGCTTCGGTTTGGTGTTATTTTAACAGTTTCAGTTCTTTTCCATGCAATATGTGTGTAAATGTTTGAAAAGATCAGTCACATCATATGGCAGTGATAAGTGACTCCAACAGCGGTGGACTGGTCCCAAAACCATATGTATTTTTAAGTAGCAGACACCTTTGTCCAAAGTGATGCACAAGGATATAAATAGCACATTACAAACATATGACTGTCAATGAGTAAACTAGGCACAACTAGGTTGAGCTTCCAATAAATGTCCAGGTAAAAGCATAAGCAGTATTGGAGCATCTTTCAAACGTATCAAGAACCTAAGCAGAAACTATTCAGAGACAAAGTGTAACACTAAAATTATATTTATGTTAGGCTGCAACACTGTACTGATCAGTGAGTGTTAACAGAACATCATGATGAATAAGTATTATAAAAAGGGTAGATGATACCTGGGTCTTCCACAGCTCATCTCTCTCCTGAGTCACCTTCCAGTGCGTGTCACCCATCATGGAGATCAGCAGGTTCATAATGAGAAGGGAGCAAACCAATGAAAAGACGACATGCAGCACGTAGACGATTGGTGGGTTGGGCTGGCTGTTGTCAACAATGAGGTCGACGAGGCCTAAGGAGACCTCAAACTCGGAGAACAAGGTAACACCGAAAGAGTGAAAGGACGGGACTTTAGTTGGGTCTTGGGTCATGTATACCATCCACATAGCTGTGGAAGGAGAATGGAGGGAGGGGGATAGACAGGGCAGAGATTTGCATGACCAACCATGCAATTACGACAAATTGGTGAAAAGGATTAGCAGCCACACTTTTCCTGAGCATAATTTTTAACAACAACTAACTACAAAAAGTGTATTGTTTCTGCAAAGTATGTTAATAATCTCGCTGAAAATCATTATCAAATGGTTACTTTTCCAGAAATAACTGTTACTTACCAGTGGTACATGCAAGTAGTGTGACAGTTATCAGCCAAATAAACCTCACTACATCACCACACAAAATCTAAAAAATGATAAACAGAATAACCTTTTAAACTCAGGAGCAGAAATAATTACACATAAACATTCACATAAACTTTTAAATAAGACAAATCACCTTGAGTCCTTTCCCTGTTCTTGACAGAAATATTACTTAGATATTCTAATGACGGCATATTTTTGAAAAATTGTCAATTAAAAGGAAAGGATTTTACTTACTGATGATGGTTGAAAACAGTTACCTTTTGCACCATGATCATGTATGGCCCGAGCATCTGAAATCCACGTGCGAAATACATGATGTTACACCAGCCCAGGATCAAAGAGAGCGACATGACATTGTCCTGTCCTGGCAAATCGGCCACTCGAAGTAAGCAGATGAGTAACACCAAACAGCTATAGCTGATCCTGAGAGAGAAGTTAAGAAAACTACTTTAAAGAAGCTGTAGTGAGTAACAGCAGTACAATGGTGCAAACAAACAACTGTTGGTTTTTCATTCTCACAGAACCTTATAGTATTGTGCAGAAGGAAAACTGATAAAAATATTTTTCATATGATATGATATTAAGTTTGTTAAAGTGTATAACCTCATTACCTTAACCATTTCAAAATGTATCCTAACCCCAGCGTGAGCAGTAACCATCCCAAACAATTCATTTGGCTCATCAATAGGGACATCGCTAGGCCTGGTCATTGGGAGTTACAGCCCTGGATCTTCAATTAATAGCCTTGGATCTCCTGGATTTTTAATTAATTTTTTTTTAAACAAAAATAATAATAATAAGAAGAAAAAACCCTGATCTATTAAGATGTCATTCTTACTTTAAAGCCCTCGAAAATAGGATATTGTTAATCAAAAACGGCAGTAGTACTTTTTGGGTCCTCAAGCAGCAGACCTGCTTCGCACAACTTGGCAGACATGCATTTTGTGTAAGCACTAGAGAGCACTGGGTAGCGGGCTTGTCATTGTTGACATCTAGGGGGAGCTAGCTAGCTACTTTATTTTACAGGAAGAACTTTCTTTACAAAAAGAATTATCGATATATGAAGCTTTTTCAAGAAGAAAAACTGTGAGGATGGAGGACGTGGAGGCAGAGTTACTTCCTGTTGCCATAGCAGCTTCACCTGCAGACTCAGGTTGGTGAAGAAGAGCACTCGCTAGCTAGCTAGTGTAGCTTAGTGGTTCTCAAAAGTTTTTGAAACAAGGTTCACCATTTATGAAAACAAGTATTTCCGACATACATGTTTACATGTGAAACATCGTAAGCCTAATTCCAAAACACATCTTCCCAGCTCCCAAGGCACACCAGTGTGCAATGGCACAGTTTGAGAACCACTGTTCTAGCTGGAAAGGATGCACTCAAATATGAATACATTATTCAGAAATGTACAAGCGATGCATTGTAAACAGATAAGTTTCTCGTTATCATTCGGAAAAAGTCAGCTCCATGAGTTATATGTCTATGTTCGATTCAATTTTTCAATTCAATTTATTTTTATATAGCGCCTTTCACACCAGAGTCATCCCAAGGTGCTTTACATGGATGTGTTGTGATACATTAAACATCATTAGAAAGAGTGATACAGAATGTGAAAAAGGAAGGAAAGAAATTAAATAAAGAAAGACAGATTATATGTTTCCTCAAATAAATCCATATCATTGTGGATGGTCACAAGATATAAATGCCCATTCAGTTTGAAACACGGGGCTTTGATTTCACTAACTAGTCATTTAATTTAGTTCAAATTATTTAAAAGTGATCGCTATGTTCTGTAGTTGACTCACCAAGCTAGTGCACAACAGGCAACGGGCTCAGAGCTGAAAATGCTGCAATTATTGGGTAAAAATCTAAAGATTTCTTGGTTGGGGTAAGCCCCAAATGGTTCATGACCCTAACAACACCCCTGCTCATCAAGTTATTTAGCTTATTAAGTTAATTCATTTAAGGTAGAGGTGAAATTTAATGAATACATGCGATGACAGGGGAGCCCCTGAAGAGAGATTTCGGGACTAAAGCGATGTTCATCTAGCCATCCTACAAGATGCCAGTAAATTTGGAAAACAGAAGAAATTCTTATGATATCTTTAAATATTACTTTATATTGTATTACAATTCACTTGCATACATTGTAATGGTAAACTGTTTTCTTTTTATGAGCAGATATATTCTGAGAAATATTCAGTATTTTCTTTAACTGCCAAAGACTTTTTCACGGTATTATAGGTCAGCTATATCTACAATGCTAAATATTCCAACCAAAAATGTTTCTCTAGGCCCTAGGGGAAATTAAATACGAAATACTTACAGGGTGACATGGAAGGGACCTCCTAGTACTGACCGACCAAAATATTGCTTGGGTCCAATTCTCATTATATCCGGAATCTAAGATGAATATAAAGAGGATGTTTTTATATTTATTACAACAGATATCAGGATAGCAGGTTATTAACTAAAGAACAAGGCTTGCAGTTACCTCTAGTACCAGTATAATAAAAGCACCCAGGACACTGATCATCTCTCCCACTAATCGTAACTGGTCAGCATATGTTAGGTAGCTCTCCTGTTGATAATAAAGGACAGAGTGAAACAATGCCACACCGAACTGCTAAAATTATACACCAAAAAAGTTGATGTTTTCCTACATCCAGAGTCTTTGGAATATAGATAGTATTATCCTGGGTGTAATTCTCTGGGACTGGCTTTAGTGGGCGGTAGACACAGCAGAGAGTAAAGATCCCCATGTACAAGTGGTATAGCAGTGCCAAAAACCTGTGTTACAAAACAACAAAACAATAACTCATAAATGTAATAATGAATATGATGTAATAAAATATTTAGAATACAAAATCATCAAGAAGTCGCCATAGAGCTCCCAATAAGATGCATTATTTGAAGTACAAAGACTGCAAAGAAATGCTAAAATACAGGATCAGGAAAACGCTATATAAAGTATCTTAGTGAATCAAAAACCTTTGACACTCATGGTTTATAAGACAATAGCATCCACATTATAATACTAAAAAATACAAAAGATGGCTACCTAAAATAATGTTTGCCATATAACTTCCACTTGAGATCAATGAGCTGTTTTGCTGGAGGTAAATCCAGCACCTTCCTCGCCTGAGAGAGAAGAGAGAAGGAAAGTAGAGGTCAGAGCCCTGAGACTTGGTGAAAACACCGTTGCCCCTCTTTATTTACTTCACAGCCACCTAATTCATTATTCACCTCTTTTTTCTGGCTCACTACGACATTCTCCAGTACAGAGAATTCATCGCCATATGAGTCAAATTCCGTCAGGTCGTAAAGATAGGAGTCGAGAGGGCCCAAAGTCCACTGGCTTAGCCGTCTGCTCTTGACCAAATGTTGAAACACCTGGATAGGCAGCATAAAATGAGGGATCATTTGGATATTAATAACATCATCATTTACTCAGTTTTTCATTGCTAACACTGGTGAGATACATTAGTACCTCCAATAAGAAGTACAAGATGTGAGTTTTACTGAAACAAATGTTGTAAAACAATGCAGAATTCAGTATGTGAAAAATCAGTCCTTTTCTTTTGTTTAGAAACATAAATATTTGCTTCCTGTCACATTCAGAAGTGAATTTAAAATACCAATCACTTTTAAAGTAAAAATATTTGTTTTTCTCAGATGTAGGCTATTCTGTATCTGGTTGCTCCTGTTTTACATATTAGGATAAGTTAGTTTTCCCTTTATGACACAAGCTCACAATTCTGTCATGTGACTATGCCATGTGACATGCCATGTCATGTCTTGATGTGGGTTTGAAAGTCTCACAAAGTGCTGGGTTTTCGTTATACTGCTAGTCCTCTGTGTTGTATTTTGTCCAGTGTTGAAGAGTATGGACTCCCAACCTGTTGATGACTGCAGACCAGCATATGTCATCCAAAATTTTTACTGGTAAAACATGTCAACCACGCAGAGGGTGGGGGGGGTTTACAATCAGTGGGCCAGATTTACTCTGTTTAGCCATTTATATTATTTTCAGATGTAATGAGAATGTGTGGATGTCAGGGGTTATTCATAAAAGGCGTGTTGTGAAAAAATATAGTTTATTTTTGGAAATTAACCAACACCCAGTGTTCTGTGGCTTACTGGAATACTGCCTGAGGTCTACAGCATCCCCGCTATTCCCTTCTGCCTCTCCTCATCTGCTTCCTACTGTCAGCCACTGGCTCCTCAGCTAATACACCACATATGTCTCATGTCTGTTTCCATGGACAGGATTCATAACTTTAGTTAGTTGCCAATAATCATAATTAAGATTTCTTATTTATGAATGCAACTATTATTTTTCCTCCATTTTGACATATTATTGTATGTGTATATGCCCTGTGATTGCTGCTGGCCCCCCAAAATCCTTTGCAGGGGAAGTGGTTCAATGACAGGTGGATTTCTCACCAAAATATTGCCATCCTTTGCAGCTGCTTTTAAGGGAGTTAATCCCCGGTAGTTGGTTTGGCGGTACAGTGGTATGTCTCTGTTCAGCTCTTTATCCGATGCCAAGAAGATGTCAATAACTTTGGTGACAGAATCTTTACTATTCTGCATAGCAAGAATGTGTAGCACTGTGTTTCCTAATGAAAGACACAAATAGAGGATAGATGTAAAAAAAAAAAAATTCATAACATTATACAAATGAATCGTAATATGGGGAGATGGTCTGAGCTCATTGTAGGTCACGGATGTACAGAGAAATGAAAAGAAATAAACAGGAATTTACCAAAGGTGTCTTGCGCCCTGATGTTGGCTCCAGCATTGATCAGTGCATTGAGAATCTCTTCGTTTCCCACACAAGCAGCAAAAGACACAATGTGTTCGCCTGATGTTGGAGACAGTTACATGTTGAAAAATGAAATGGCTCAAACACACTCAAAATAGGTATACAGTGGTACCTCGGTTCTCGAACTTAATCCGTTCCGGACTCCGGATCGAATCCTAAAAAGTTTGAGTTCTGATCTAATTTTTCCCATAAGAAATAATGGAAAACCAATTAATTGGTTCCCGGCCCCAAAAAATTACACCTAAATATGTTTTTTTTTTCTTTTTTTTGCATTTAAACACAAAATGAACAGGATAAAACAAGAAGAGCATTTTCTTCTTAATGGCTTCCAAAACAATAAAGATCTTATTCCAACATTACCCTTGTCCTGCCCCGATTGTCCGCTCCTTCCGTGTGCCACGCCCCCTCGTTAACCTCGTGTGGGATCCCCATGTGATCAGCTGTTTCTGGTTGTTGTCATTAGTCCTATGTATTAAGTCCGCGTTTCAGTTTGTTTCCCCAGTCCTGTCATTTGGGTGCATTCGACTTGCTTACAGCGCTGGCTTAAAGCAACGCATTCTGATCCTGACGCAATGCATTATGGTTAGATGCATTGCGACCTCTCACCCGGCTGCACAAACTGTCTGGAATCGCCTCCGTGATGACACACCTTTACCCTTATTGGCTGAAGAGTTTAGTTACACGCATGACGTTTGTATCCCAGGCAGTTCCGATGCGTAATCTGCTATTTCTCCCGAATATCATGTAAAGCAGTGAGAACTGGTATTCAGTTAATTTACCTGGTAAAATAAAGTTTAATTAAATGACATAAATGCTCTAATAGTACACGTAAGTTAGTGGTTTATTTATTGTTAGTTACTGTAATGTTGCGCTGCTTTATTTGGTTAATCATCCAGTCTGTGAAGAAGGCATTCAAGTAAGAATTGCATTGTAGTATGACTCATTTCCTGGCGCGTACAATTTATATTAGGTCAGCGTTCACGGTTCGACTTCTGATATTCAGATCGAGTTCTAGGTCAAACTCGTTTGTTCGACTTTCAACAAATTCGAGTTCTAGTGAGTTAGTGAACCGAGGTACCATTGTATATCTTTGTGGGGACTCTACATTCATTTTTATGGGCATAACCATATAATTTCAACAATGACGACCTTAAAGCCCTTGCTTTAACCATAAGTAACCAAACAAAATACAAGACTTTTGGCTGTCTTAGTTCACAGATTTTTCTAAAATTGTGTTTCTCTTTGAGGAGACTGAAATTTTTTTCCCACAAAGTCAAAATAAGAGGTTTTCACCACATTGTGGGAAAATCTGGTTCCCACAATGTAATATACTTTCTCCAATCAGAAGCCACAACTCACACCACATGTAGTACGTTGTCTGTTTCTCACTTATTTTACATCACAAAGAGGTCCCAGCAAGGAAGCTATAGCTGTATTAAAGGTAAAATCCTTGTGGTTTTTAAAATATGTATCAAAGGTAATACTTTTGTATCTGTTTGGGGCAGTGGGTCTCGCCTGCAGACGAGCCTTGCAGATATTCTACTATAGATAGATAGATAGATAGATAGACAGACAGACAGACAGACAGACTGACTTTATTAATCTCACCGGAAAGCTCCTCCGGGTAATTCAGTTTCTAGCAGCAACTATACACCGGTGTAATAGTACATGGCACTATATATATATATATATATATATATATATATACACACACACACACACACACAAAGTGGTACCTCAGAACTGGAACTTAATCCATTCAGAACTCAGGTTCGAATCCTAAAAAGTTCAAGTTCTGATCGAATTTTCCCCATAAGAAATAATGGAAAACCAATTAATTGGTTCCCGGCCCCAAAAAAATTACACCTAAATATGTTTTTTTTAGCATTTGTTTCCCCAGTCCGGTCATTGTATTGTCTGTCTGCGTTTTGCCTGCCTTACCTGTAATTAAATGCTGTATTCCCCGATACCCTGACGTCTGCACCTTTGTCTCCGTTCCGTCCCCGTTCGACACAACAATATTATTATAATTAAATGTATTAATGGGTTATTATTAATGATATTAAAATAATTAATAAGAAATCTTTATTTTTAATGTATTTTATTATGTAATAATAATTACTGTTACTGTCTATCATTGTCTAAATGTATTTTTACTGTAAAAATATGTGTATTCAGCTAGTGTAAACATGCACGATGCTATCACAGCGCACGCAAGGCTGAGACTGAAGCGTTACCCTTTGTTTCCGCTGTGATACGTGCCGTGTGACTCATTTCCCAGCGCGTACAAGTTATCTTAGGTCGGCATTCACGGTTCAACTTCTGAGATTTAGATCGAGTTCTAGGTAATTTTTTTTTCGAACTGGTTGGTTCGACATTTAAGAAATTCGAGTTGTAATGAGTTAGAGAACTTAGGTACTGTACCACTGTATATAGTACTTGGGCCCAAAACACAACTGCTCTGCTTGCAGCTCCGGTCTAAAACCCCCAGGATTTGAAACAGCCTTTTCTCTCACCATAGTACAGGAGTCCTCCTCTTCTTTTCCTGAAATAGATACCAGTCACCCTAGGAGTTGCTACATCAGCGCCTTTGGCAATTAACTGATTTACCAAATCCAGGTTTTGGTTCAACACAGCAATGTGAAGCGCAGTCAGACCTGCAGAGAGAGAATCACAAAACCGATACCTGCATAGTTACTAAAATTGCTTTTAAAAAATCTGTAATTTTACATCATGTGATCATTATATAATTAATTAATCAATTTCCTATAGTCACTTTTCTAGTATGAACTTATAGTGATTCTGGAAAATTTTCAGGAAGCACATGGTGCAAGACAGGGGACCCCTGGAATTACAGTCCATCCTAAGTCATGTACTATGGCTCATTTAGAAACATCAGTTAACCCTTGCATTGCAGCAGGAAACTGAAGTATATGGAGAAAATCCATATGAACCTGAGGAGAGCATCTCAACACTCATACCTGGGGTGAGGAGTTAAAGGCACAACTCCGGAGGTGTGGGTCTGCAGTGCTAACCCCTGAGCTGCTGTGCCTCCCACAGGCCGTAATAATGAATGATATCAAACACAGATGCCACATCTATAATGTGGTTGGATGGAAAAATCTGAATTCTTACCCTGGTAGAGGTCAGAGGTTATGGGTTCATTTATGAGCACAGGCACCTCTTCCATTATAGCCACTGAAGCCTGTAGGTGATCTGCAAATGCTGCCACATGGAGTGCGGTCTCCCCCAGGGCCCCTGAGGCAGGGAGACACAAACTCTTAATAAGTGACATTAACAATGAACTGGGTGCCTTACACAGTCATGGGCTAATATTGACAATAACAGAAAGACACTAAGTCCACTTACAACTTTCACGTGTGAACTACACCATACAGTACCTTAAAAAGGACATTGCTGCCTTGGAAAGGGTGCAACGTAAGGCTACAAGAATGATTCCTGGTCTTAGAGGAATGTCTTATGAGGAGAGGTTAGCTGAGCTGAGTCTGTTTAGCCTAGAGCAAAGGAGACTAAGGGGGGACATGATCCAGGTATATAAGATTCTAACAGGTCTGGATGCTGTTCAGCCAAATGGCTACTTCAATAATAGTTTAAATACTAGAACTCGTGGCCATAAGTGGAAATTAGCGGGAGAACATTTTTAAATGAATTTGAGAAAGCACTTCTTTACACAGCATGTAGTTATAGTAATGAATAGTCTTCCTGTTAGCGTAGTGCAAGCTAGACCTGGGTTCCTTTAAGTCACAGCTAGATAAGATTTTAACAACTCTGAGCTATTAGTTAAGTTCTCCCCAAACAAGCTTGATGGGCTGAATGGCCTCCTCTCTTTTGTAAATTTCTTATGTTCTTATGTACAGTATTTACAATAGTGATGGCCAAAATGATGCCTCATGAATCATGTGTGGTATTTTTTTTACAATACTAGATGGCAGTCTTGGCTTGCTTTGGGGCATGCTTTGAGCCATTTTTTGAACATACAGCACCATCTAGTGGGGTCAAAATACAGCAGATGGTTCATGAAGCATTGTTTTTGCCGTCAGATGTTTACAGTATTTATTTACATGTTTGTTCAAAGAGTACTGAGATATTCAGTACATAAAAAGCTAGAAAAATTATCAATCAATCCCTCAATTGAAGTATTATGAGACTATCATCATGGGTACATTAAGTAAGTACCTCTCCCTTAAATAAAAAAAAAAAACAATTACAGTTTCAATATTACTTCACTGTTATAATATTGCTAGGTAAACATAGAAATTAATAAAGGGGTGAAAATAGATTAAGCAGGAGAATATCAGGCCCCACCTCTTTCAAAGACATCTGTGGATGGACATTTAAGGAGCTTTTTTATGGAACCAACGTCATTCTCATGGGCAGCAAAGAAGAGAGGGATGTCATTCACTCTAAAAAAGGGACATGAAAGTGAATAAACTGACTGACTCCAAGCTGCATATTACATTCTGGGGAAGGCAGAGAGTCTGATTAAACTGTAAAATTGTCATGTGCATTTTGTATGACTAGACACTAGAATAAATTCATTGTGTTATACTCGTACTTAGAGAAATAATGCTGACTGTAGTTTTGAAACTACTTGGTGTATTACGATCTAGCATGAGCATTAATGCCAAGTCTCACGATTTCCAATATGACCTACAGTTTACACCCCATTTTGCCATCTGGCAGCCATGAGACTGAATCCCTCACCCCCCCCCCCCCCCCCCCCCCAAACGTCAGGCAGGTTTTTTACGTACTATTTCACTGATTTCAATGCAGCTAGATTGACATATATATTGACATATGTCTGAATAAGACACAGCCTCAGTTTTTATTGTGCTCACCTCTGGCTTTGTAGCATGAAAGTCTCATCAACCATTTGAGCCCATGCCTTTCTGTTCTTTAGGCGGAATCGAAGTTGACCCCACCGATGACTGAGCTCTGAAAGAGCGACTCGTGCTAAAGGTGGACTCATGGCCTCAAGTGGAGTGTCTCGCTAGACCTGTTGCTGAAACATAAGTAGGTTAGGATTAGAGGATTAGAGAAGAATAAAGTTATTAAAATCAAAGCGAAGGGAGACTATATCAATGAGAAGCCTGAATACAGAATATTTACCAACACTGATTATGCTTATACAACAGCAGCCACTATGCTAACAGGTTCTTACATTATAACTTAACAAATTAACATGTATGTGTAATTTTGTTTATTTATAAAGCACATTTCACACAACAGCAGTTGAATAAAATGCTGTACAATCAAAATAACACAAAAACATGTACTGTACAAACAACAAAGGGTTTTGTATGTATGTGAGAGAGTAAGGGAAACAAAGGAAAGATTGCTATAGTAGTGACTCAGCTAACATTTTAAGAAACTGTTCTGATTCTTGCACTTAAATTTAATTGCATTTAATCAAATATATAGAGGAGAAAAAACAGGAGGATTATTCGAGAAAAAGGAAAAACTTTCTGGTTGCCACCAAGACACAAGCATATTAAAGAATGAAATCTGTGTGTGTGTCTATATATATATAGACAACAGTAATTAAATAAAGACAAATAATACTTCTCTAATTATTCTACGGATTTCTATATAATAATTCAGGAATAATACAGAATAATCTATAGAAAAAAAAATTATTCAAAGCAAAATATAGTTAAAACTCATTTCACCTGTCATGCCATTCAAAAAATTTTAATAGAAACAAAATAAAATGACAGATTAAGTAAATCAGGTAATCTTACCTGTGCAATTCAAACAGTCAGTACTACGATTTCCCCAAGTATTACAGTATACTGTGGAACATCACATTAGGATGTAATGTGCTACATCAGTGTAATTGTACACAGGGCAGTGTGTTGGAAAATCCTGCATGTGAAACTTTATGATGGTAGACATTTAAGGCAAAACTAGAGGCGGAGAAATGCATGTGAGGGAGGAGAGAGAGGACAGAGGCAGGTAGCCTGATGTTCAGATAGGATGACAGAAATGACTCTGTTGTCAACGTGAGAAAGGTTCACACCTCACTGCTATTTCCATCCATCCATCCATCCATCCATCCATTCCCACCTGTTCTATGTTTTATGTGGGGTCACAGGGCAGGCATGTTGTCAAATGATGGGTTAAGAACCCCCTCTGAAATTTGTTTTCTTTCTAGTAGGCACATAGCCAAGTAAGGAACCCCCTTACAGCCACCAATCTACTGAGTCCCTACCTAAAGGGACCTATTAGTGGAGTTGCTGGACTGCCCCCCCACCAACCCAGCATTAAATTTTAATGATTCCTGGCCACGGGTCTGCCTTAGGGGTCCGGAGCCTACACGAGGAGGGTAAGGCAGGGAATAACCCATCCATTACAATAATAAGGGAAAACTAATTTTAATAGACCAGAGGTCTCACCATGACAGGAATATCAGTACCATGACCCCTACAATGACCTATTTTGTATGTTTATTAAATATGGTCAAATAATGGAGTAAATATTTTGTGTTTTAAACCAGTTGCAGTTCATTGTTTTCTCTTCTTTGTATTTGACAGTTCTTCCTTTATTTCCTCATATGCTTAAAAGAAACATTAACATTAACACTTACTTTACATACACACACTGGAGGCACAAAACACAAATTAACACTGTATTCACTCTGAAAGATTTGCAATCCTTTTGGATTTCACTGCACAGAAATATATTTTTCACTTTTTTTAGACAAATGAACAAAGGCCCAGGATTTTTTTCAATTTATGCAAAGTAAGCATCCTGTATTTAGCTGTTACTCTCTTTGAAACAAATAAATACACAAATACATATACAAAACACACATACTGTATGTCGTAATAAATGCAGAGGGTAGGTGAATAGTAGATTGATAGTGGGCTGTGTTTCAGTTTAACTTGGGCATTGTGGGATTATGTTTATTATGTTTACACTGAAAAGTAAAGTTAGTGAAGCGAGTAAAACAGCATGATAACAGGGTTAAGGACAGTGATGACCTGTATCGTGAAGAAAGTGTCTCCATTCCACATTCCGCGTTGGATAATGTCAAACGCCTGTATGACCAGCATGCAGAATCAGTAAAAGGATGTAAGTCAACATTTTTGACAAATACAGATAAAAAAACTTGCTTAAAAAAGCGCTGACATGCACCATGATGGTAACACCGGCTGATCTAGACACAGAAGAGGTTGTTCGACATGAGGATTTGGCACTTATAAAATCGTAACAGTCAGATCTTCTGGTTTCTCCAGACAATACGGGATAAAGCCAGAAGCATTTAAACAAATGTTCATTGGAACCAAAGCTTGAACGTGAACAAAGGATCCCAAATATCCTTAAAAACATGAATTTTAGGTACAAGAATATGGTTTGATTTACTAGTGGAATATACACAATTTTCACTAGTCTGTAAGTATTTGGCAGAGCTTATCAAGCTGAGCGAGTTTAGTCTGATTTTAGCTCATGCACCTTTTAAATATTTTACATATATTACATATGGTGACCATGAAATGCAGAGCCTTAAGTGATTCACCATTATGTCTCTATAGTAAAATATGTATAAAATAATTATTATGTTACTTTATATTACATTCAACTACAAGCATTTTAACGGTGACTGAAGGAAGAAGCAGTTCAGAGAAAAAGTATTGAAGACAAGAAAATAATAATGGCTCAGAAGGGCTAATAGGCTAAAAGACTAACAGGCTGAAAGGCTAATAGGCTAAAGGGGTAACAGGTCCCTACAAAAAACCTTTGACGCCAAAGAGAGAGCAACTGACACCAGAAATCTTTTTGCATACGTTTGGAATTTTTATATTGCTAAAAGAACAAACTTATTTGTTTCTGGTGACTTATGGGGTACCTTATGGTGCACAAAATATTCATAATGTGATTTTAAAATAGAAACAAATGGGCGCTTCTGTGGAGAGAGGAAAGGTGATACCTAAGGAGCTGCTAATGGAGCAGCTCTGAGTCGTCACTCAAAAAGCAGCATTTCTGTCCAGCAGGGTTTATATGCTCAAGGCTTAGGGATGATTGCATCATTATTTTGAGTATCACTCTCATTACCTGCTTTGTTATTGCTGTTCTGTAGTAAAAAGATTGAAAAGCTCCTTCATATTTGGTAAAATTAGGCCACCACTCCATTAGCTGTTATCAACCATGTCTCATTTTTCCTCCTCATCTACTTCAGTGGATGGGCAATATTGATAGAGCTATAAGCAGATCATTATAGTAGACATAATGCACAGTATAGGTAATTAATATTTTATTTGCTCGCAAGTCTGTTGATTGGAAAATACTGAAAATACTGTGCTTTTTTATGTGCTTATTTTATTGCATTCTCATTTTGTTTTGGGGTTTAATTAATGTCTGTACTTTTATGAAATATAGGATTAGGTAGGAGCTGGACTGTTACGCTCTGGAAGACAGCTGGGATACTTTAAAATTTCTATCAAAATCTTTCATTTATCAATTAAAAGCTAAGAAAATTCTCACTTAGCCTTCCATGGCTGCTGGTGTGATTTATGCTGGCTGTGCAAGAAATAATCCATGTTTCATATGACGTGTCATTTGTGTGAAATTTTACAACCAGGGTGTTCTTCTTCTTTGATGTCAGCATCCATTTTGTCAGCTGTACACGGTGTACCAATGTAATATCAACTGTAGGAAATGAGGCGAAGTGCCTTTTTAACATAGTAAAAATAATTCATTAATCTGATAGTGCCTTTTGCTAGACTCTGTATTGTGCAAACATGATAAGAAATGCATGCATGTTTTGGAAGGCTGGTGTATCTAATTCCTTGCTTAGGACAATTTCAGATAACAATGCAAAATCTCCCCTGGTTTCATGGTAGCCTCAGTGACTATCATCAAACTGTTCTTGTTTAATCTTTTTGTATGTGGCTGAAGGGATTCTGCTGCTCTGTGTTTCAACTGCATTTAGTCTCTTGATTGTCTCCATAACAGTTGAAATGAAGGTAAGAAGGAAAAATGGGAATAAATAGTAAAGTCTTGTCATTAACGAGTCTAAAATGTGACCTTGGAGCTGCCATCTCACACCCAGTGCTTGCTTGTAGCGTTTGTGCTGACTTCAGAGATCATTGTCTGACATTGTAAGGGAACAATGTGCTGACGTGTTTTATGGGAAAAATGCCTCTTGTTTGACGCTTGTAAGTCAAGGTTATCTAATGCATCCCTAGTCCTTTATGCACCACAATAACAGAGAAGCAGCCAGTGGTTTAAATAAAATTATTACTTTTTATTTTACAAATTTGCGCAATAGATGAATAGTCATGAACATTCCCACAAACAGACACACTCACACATATGGCTCCTCTCACCTGATGTATTTCACATTAACATTGTTCATATTAGTCTGTGACACAAATCTATGTAACATACAAAGAGATATGAATACTACTAGCCTGATGAAGCAGAAAAGTAACCAGATTTACTTCTTGCCAACTCGACATGGCACTGATTCTTATTTACGTCACAGTGATTTTGTTTGTTTGGCCAGTCATCATTCAGAAGAGGTTCATTACCATAAAAAACAAACAATAATGTAAACGATACTCATAATAGCAATGAAAAGATGGACTATACAAGCACTTGGACTGGAAAGCCCCTAATAATTACCTTTTTTATTTATATAATAAATGGAATAAATAATGATAAATAAATGAATGATTAGTGTATGGAAAATGAAAAAGGTTCAAGGAAAATGAGGAGGAGAAATAAGGAGGAGAGGTAAATAAGGAGGAGAAGGTAAATGTGGAGGAGAAATAAGGAGGAGAGGCAAATAAGGAGAAAAATAGGAGAAGATGTAAATCAGGAGAAGGAAAATAAACAAGGCAAATAAGGAAAGGAGTAGGAGAAATAAATGAATGAACCAAACAGCTGTCTTATAGTATTTGCTGCCTTTTTCCCAATCAGCTATTTCCTGTATTTCATGTTAGACCCACACCTCCCAAAGTTCATTCTGATGTATTTTTACACAAGTATTGTGCAAAAATAAGCCTTCTTTGTGTTTTTCACAGGATATACTCTCTGTTTACGGAGATTGAAGTGGTCTATTTCGGAAGTATGTACATGTTTTCACACTTCCAGTCCAAAAGTAATTGTGTTCTTGTTTTTTGTGCATGATGTGCAGATTGCAGGACCCAAGGGCTGGCTGTTTGGGATGGCCAGCTTTCTGCTATACTTCAGCCTGACCCTGCGTCAGATGGATTTTCAGCTGCTGGGCGGCATTGACAATTTTTCTTTGGTGACCCAGCAGATTCACTCCCAGGTTTTGCATGTCCCTGAATGGTCAAGGGGGGGAAATATCAAGTCAGTTTCAGGTGTCGGGCAACAAATTTTTACTACTTTTGCTCCCCCCTGGCTTTGTAATGCTGTAACTGCAGAGTAAGTGATTTGACCAATCCAAACAATCTAAAAGCCAGTAACGACAACGTAAAATGTGGCCGTTCCTCATATAATTACAAGGAAAATTCACAAATAATGAATTTGCACCGTCACTACATTAGAGGGGTGGTACAAATTATTGATAAAACACTTGAGATGCAGTTTTGGTCAATGGTATGAAAAGTGGCCTGAACAAACACAGGGGGAGAGGAGTGCCTGTATTTTTGTTTTCATTGATTCCACAAAATGTCCGTGGTAAATTTTCAGGAAGCTATTTTCTTTTGTTGTAGTTTGTATAACTTGGGGCCCTGATTCTCACATAATACATAGATAAATTCGTAGTGTTAAGCAGGATGTTTACTATATACATAAGCTCACCCTTATAAGCCACACCCCCTAAATTCTGTGTGTGCCCCCCTTCAGTGTAGAAGGGCCTTCCCTAAGGAATAAGGACTCACTCCATGGTTAAGGTGCTGGCTGTTTCCAAACTGTGTATCTGGGCCCTCTCAAACTCCTCCCTATACCGCTCCATCCGGAGGGTGCTCAGCCAATCACTGACAGTCGTTACTGTCGACAGATCTGTGAGCGTGGGGCTGAGCAGCGACTGGCTGGACCTGCTGAACGGAAAGGATCGGAATATAAAGGTCACTACATTCGGAGGATTTTAGGGCAGTGTTTCCCATTCCGGTCCTTGGGGACCAGCAGCAGTCCACGTTTTTGCTCCCTCCCAGCTCCTGGTAGGAAATGTCTAACAGGGAACTGGGAGGGACCAAAAACGTGGACCGTCTGTGGGTCCTTGAGAATTGGATTGGGAAATACTGTTTTAGTGTGAAATCAGACCTGTGGGGGGGCTTTACAGTCTCACCAGCTGTGCTCGGTCTTCAGAGAGGCTGGGTGTCGGATCAGCCGGTCCAGGGATGAGAGGAGAGAGTCAAAACCTGGTCGGTCCTGCCTGTTTGCCTGCCAACACTGTAACATCAGGGAGTGCACTGCAGGGGGGCAGTTATGGGGTGCGGGGAGGCGGTACTGCTCAGCCACCGACTTCATCACCTGGGGGTGTCAAGGGGACATAGCGGACAGATGACACAAGAGGAGCATGAGTGGCCAGGAACACATGATAACATCTAAACACATTCCTCCCCCTCCCCTCAGTTTCATGCACCATGTTTTGTTTGATTGCCCCACACTCATGTCAAGTGCCTGGAGCGACTGAAAGGCGCTATATAAAAATAAATTGAATTGAGTAACACATAGTTGCCTACGTTAAATATATATATGGTAATATGGTGATGGATATAGGGTGTGACCTTCTGCTGGACTAAGGTGGGGGTATCATGTGACCGGGCTTTTCTGTGTGGATTCATTACACCTTGTGCCTAAATCAGCCCACTGTTTGTTTTATTTTTGGGCCCCTAGTACCCCACCCCGGCGCCCTGGCAGAGCGTGGTGGACCTGCAGGCCTTAGCTGCTCTCAGGGACCTGGCCGTACATTCGCTCTGCTTTTGTGTTTACCCCACTTTCCTTTTCTTTTTCTTTGTTTCCCCTCATTCTTTACCAGATCGGCCCTGGACAGAAGCATGATCCCCAAAGAGAGATCCTGCTCCCAGCCTCAGTCCTGTTCCCCTTCCCACTCAGTACTGGTTTCCGAGAGCCATCACCAGTAAATCAGTTTCAGGCAGTAAATGTTCACTGAAAGTGGATATTGGGTGCTGATGTATCTTTTGTACTCAACCACTACTATACCATGTTCAGGAAAAAACCTCATTGAATTTTTAACTAATTTAATCAGATAATTAAATGAGCTGGTAGTAGAATTTTACAAATACATGGAATGGCTGGAGTGCCCCTGAGGAGAGGTTTGAAGTGGGTTTCTTCTAGCCACCCAGAAGGAAAACAATGACTTTTTAGGGCAGAGAAGGAATTCATATTAGTTTTTATTGTGTTACTCTTAATTTGCAAATGTCCTAATGTTAAATTGTTCATTTGTTCTGACCAAATACACACTCGCTCCCTAGATATATAGCCTTGAACATATCCTTTGATTGCCTAAGACATTTAATCGGTGCTGATTATGGTTCTATGCTGGTTTAAGGATGTCCCGCGCACTCACCTCCTGGTTGCTCATGTCCCAGTATGGCCGCTCACCGTATGACATCACCTCCCACATCAGAATCCCAAAACTCCAGATGTCGCTTGCGGAGCTGAACTTCCGATGCTGGAATGCCTCAGGAGCTGACCACCTAACGGGAATTTTACTGCCCTGGGGGAGCCAGAGGGGAAGAGATGTGCTAATGATCCCCGCATGAGGTAGCGCTCATAAAAAGGTGCGGTCTGCTTGAAGACGTGAGGGCTGAGGCGGTGAAGTGTGCGGACGCACCAGGGAGGCAGTGTAGGTGGGCATGTCATGTTCAAGCCCCCGCATGAGGCGCGACAGGCCAAAGTCAGACACCTTGCACACCAGGTTGGCGTTCACCAGCACGTTCCTGGCTGCCAGGTCCCGGTGGACGAAGCTTCTCTCAGAGAGGTAGCGCATGCCGGAGCCCACCCCCCTGAGCATGCCCACTAGCTGCAGGATGCTGAACTGGTCCAGGTTTTCCTGATGGAGCAGGCGGGCAGGGTTCATATGTTATACACACATCACTGGCGGATAGAAACTGTCAGACTTGTCAGTAGAAATGAGCTTCAACCATCCATCTTTCATGGTTACATCATCTATTTTTTGATATGGAGTATAGTATCATTATTGTCTTAATATTCTGTACTGACCTTTTTATCTGTGAATGTTATTAGCCATTATTAATAGAGGTTTTTAGTCGCCATGCTCTTGGAGACTTTTCACAGTGAAATTGAATAAAGTTGCCTTATGCATTATGGGAAATGTAGTCCTAGACACACCCTGAGAAATGCATCCAGTGGACCGTTCTCCATGAACTCAGTGACGATCCTGTCAGGAGGGCTGCGAGTGATCACCCCTTCTAGTTTTAGGACATTGGGGTGGTCGAATTGGCCCAGAACTCCGGCTTCACTCAGAAAAACCCCCCTCTCCCGATCAGTCACTCCCCATCGCAAAGTCTTCACGGCGACTTGCACCTCTCTTCTGCTCAGGGGGTGGTACCTGCCCCGGGACACTTCGCCAAACTGTGCTGGAGAGCATTAACACACAGAAAAATGGGTAAATGGGAATATTAATTAATATTAAAACATTATTGGTTAGGTACAGTAGAGAGTTGATATATGCATAATAAATAATTGAAAATTGACTGTAAAACCTGATACAGGACAGTGAGAGAGGGGTTTACACACAATGCCACAGACATATAAAGTTACACAGTGAGTCCGGTGGTTTTTATTGCAGTTTAACGTCACCTATAAAAAACCTTCAGGTTAATGGTTCCAATATAAGCACTCCTGGCTCTCACCAGCACCAATGACCTCTTCGATCTTGAGGTGGGCAGGGTCAATCTCTCTGGCAAAGTCTCGCACAGCCTCGCTTGGGTCTTCATAGGTAGAAGGGTCTACGTAATACTTCACCCCCCCTGCAGGGGATGAGGAGCAATGTTATTCCTTTTAAAGTCTTTGTGGGATAAATGGAGGAGAGGTGGTGGGGGGATCATCCTGGTGTTGAGAGACTGTTGAATTTCATGCACATTTAGGGAAGGTTTGATGACATGTTTGTTGTGAGGGTGAAATTGAGACATGGGGGGTGTTTTTCATACGTGTATTACTCATTTAGCCGGATGTAATTGTTGACGATTTGGCATGATCCTGGATTTGTCGTTTTTTCGAAACTCTTGCTGGATGTGTTGTCATAGCAGCACATCCAAATCCTCAAACCTGCTCAGAGCATGTTTGCTCTATGTGAAGAAGGATTAGCTCACACATATATGAAATAAAAGTCATGTTTAGCAGTTTGAAGTATATTTTTGTACTTCACTTTAACTTGTTCGCATTTCCTGCTTGATTGTGCTTGTATTTGATCTGTAATTATGACAATAAAATAATAATGAAACATTGGAAATGTAATACTACATTCAAGTGATAAATACAATAACTAAAAACTACTTGCACGTTTAATTCGTTGGACACTTTTTGCCAGCCGTCTTCAATGGTTTGGACTGCTTTTGATGTGTTTCCTTTAGTACATATTAAATCATTGAATTCATCATACCCTGCTAATAAAAGGTCCTGCTCGGATTGCGTGAAAAATTGTGCCCTGTTTTTTGATATTTTGTGGAAGCCAATGAGAGACTTGCCGATCATGTTTTCTAGACTAGATATATATGGGCTTTTCAAGCAGCACGGGTGCACGCAATCATCTCAGATGAATGTATCCAGCTAGAGTAATCTACTACACAGCTGCGTTTGAAAAACTGACTTATCCCGGATGAGTTTCACCGGCATTAACTCATCCAAGATGAAGCATCTGATCTTGGATGATTTAAGCGATGTATGGAAAATAACCCCAAGGTCTCTTGTGACGTTGTGCTTCATGTGAAAACAATGTTGGTTTTTGCTGACAGTTTTCAATAACATGGGAATGATTATGGAGAACATGCACTTACCTCTGTTAATATATCTTTGTAGTCTGTTATGATAAGGGCTTTCTCTCCTTTTCCTGGGAAAAAAAGGCCACATCAGTGAAAATGCAAACTGAAAACACCTTTCTCACACCAAACACATGGATGCAGGTTGTGATGTAATCACCTTCGGAACATAAACACAATGACAACAGCTGCAATGACCAATAGGAAGGCAGCCCCTCCCATCACGGAGCCAACCATCAGAGGCAGTCGATTCTGGATTTGCATAGAATGTTCTTCTGTTTAGAATGGAGATGGAGAAATAATTACAGCAACAATTATGAACTTACAATTTTACATATATGTGAAAGGTGAACAGGAACACAGCAGTCCATTGAGCCATTAAGATTCTGAGCAGCATTCAAAGAGTGATTCAGGAGCTGATGGGCTGGCATGCCTACCCAGCGGCAGGGTAGTGAAGTAGACGGTGGGGCTGTAGGGCCCAAAGCCCCTTTCATTCCTGGCGCGAATCTGAAACGCGTAGATTGACCCTGGGGCCAGGGCATTGATGGTGACTGTGTTGGTCTCTGTAAACACACTGACAGCGTTGTCGTCGTCTGTGCCCTGACACAGAAAGAGCACCAAACGCTTAATTAATTTTGTCCTCGTGACTGTGTTCTGTTGTTCTATGTAGGCATTGAAGAGCAACTCTAGGGTTACCTGCAGCTTAAGGTGCCTTTGAGAAAGCCTGATTTGGTCTAGTAAAATACCATTTCTATAAATGGCTTCATATATATATATATATTACATACACATATATTTTAGAACACATATATGTATGTGTCTGTGTGTGTGTATATATATATATATATATATATATATACGTGGCATGACATTATGCTAAGTGGCATGTGACAGTGAGAGTGACAGCATGGTGATTACCTTGTCGTAGAATCTGAGTTGGTATTCCAGGATGTCTCCGTTGGGCCTGTCCGGCTGCGGCCATGACAGGGTGATGGAGTCTGCTGCTCGGCTAAGCTGGTGCAGCATGGGCACAGGAGAGGGCACTGAGAGACAGCAAAGACATATCAGAGAGGTGCGGCAATGCCATGGGCTGGCAGCCAAGCTGTTGACGATGCAGATCCAGGGTTGGCCACTAGATGGCAGTATGGGCAGGTAAAACTGTGGACATCCACTCAATGTAGGACCACTATCTGTAGTCCTTAGACATCACTCCTATTGAGAGCCTACATAGTAACATGATAACGCATGTCTGTATATAAAAAAATGGGCATAAGCTCCATGTGGACAGAATGGTGACAGACCACTTAGAGTCAGTGTTTTTTTCCATGTTACATAAAGCCATCTCAGACAAGCAGCAGAGGAGTCTTCTACATTGAAACCAGAAAGCCAGAAAGGGAACAGAAGGAGCAAACGGCGCCACCTGTCTGTCCTACACTGCTGCAAACGTCATCCACACGCTGTCACGCAGAATGGCGCTCACATGCCGTCTGTGCTGCTCCCCCCGGAGGCCTGGGCGCATTACTGCCGCCGATGAGGGAGAAAATCTTAGCTTCTGCTCTGAATTGCTGGGAAGCGTTAAGCTGCCCTCTGTATGTGCGACGAGGGCACCTCCTGCGATACAGCCTCTCAGATGAATCACCACTCAGTGTCAGGCAAGGACTTTTATTGACTTTCATTTTTTTTCCAAAATCCTCTTCCATGGTATTTTCTTCCTATTTTTTTCCCCAAAAGGAAACCAATTCTCCCAATTTGTTTGAGTCAAAATGCACTTGAATTAGCATTTCTGAGGCACAGCTATGTATTTGTTCATTTTTTTTTCTTAGTATCAAGTTAAGGCTCGTGTCTCAAATTGAGGTCAATGTTTCTCGCTGCTTGCCGGGCTCTTGTATATCACATGGTTCTGGCTGAGTTCCAGCTGCGTTCGTCATCATTTGGGCTCCATCACCTGGGGTCTTTCACCCAGGATGGTAGCACGTCTGTGGTATTGCGGTGTGGCCCGCTCTCTGTAAATCCTGAAATAGGTTCCTTTCTCACTGGGTTTGGATCGTGGTGAACAGAAAGCAACACGGTGGCTGGGAGCCTTGCTCTACCCTCAGGAATTACTGTGGGCTCGCAGGAATTTCACTGAATTCCCACAGTAATGTTTTGAAAGGGTATGGTCTTTTTTTAACTGGTAATGAGGTCACTTCTTTCTGAATTGATGTAAGTGCTATTTTCATGACTTCTAGTAGCTAGTGTGCCCTTTATCTGAAGCCGTTACAGCTCTGAATGTCCTGTGCTCTCTCCGTGTATCTGTAAGCCTGCCTGCCATCCTCTCACGCTGGCCGCACGAGCCCCTCCCCCACGACAACTCGGCCTTTGAGTCTGATGAGAACTGACAGGATATCGTGACCCAGAACCACCTGAGTCCAAAGATCATGAGGAGGGAAGGAAAGCAATACAGACAAGCAAAAACAGCAAGAGACACTGATGGTGAGTGTCAAGCCCATGCCAGCGCTATCTATCTATCTATGGATCCATCGTTTGATAGATAGACAGATAGATAGGCAGATAGATAGATAGATAGATTTTATGTATAATACAATATATACGTTATACATAACATACACACACACACACACACACATATATATATATATATATATATATATTATACGTAATATACTGTTCTTTCTCATAGTTCTAGCCTGGCCCCTCCTCACTCTCACCTGATTGGCTGGTGGTGAAGTTGATGCTGGCATATTGAGGTGGGTAGGGACTCAAAGCCGATACGTCATTTATTGCTTGAACCTGTTAATAAAAAACAGAAAGCAGACCAACTCTGCCCATTGATACATGCTGTGGCACACAGTGACATAGAAGAAAGAGCACTGCATTCCACTTTGTATCGCTTCAGACTAAATTCACTTAAAATGATAAACTATAATAAAATTATGAGTGAAAGTCTCTTTGAATTATGATATCATTTCATACATTACACTGGTTCTTTCTCTTTCATGCAGCCGACTGGTTAAGGATACATGGCCCAGTTTTGGGAATCATGGGTAATGTACCTGTATGAGGTAGGTGACCCGTGTGAGCAGGTTGTTGAGTGTAACCTTAGTCTGTTGAAGGCGTGTCTGCGATGGGGTGTAGCTCACTGCTTCCCCACACCATGAGCACACTCCCGGGGACAGCATAGAGGCAGAGGGGCAGATTCGGCACACAATGGTATACCACACCTCTCGCCGACCCCCTGTGTCTAAGGGTGGACGCCAGCGCAGGGACACTCCACCTTCCCCGCTCTCATACTCCCAGGAGAGAGACAGGGGTGCCGATGGAGGACCTGCAGAAGGTGGAGGAGGTTTAGGAAGAAATGGCAAAAACACCAATCAGTTTTCATCTGACGAATCACTGGAAAGCCCCGCCCCCAGCCCTTCATTAGACAACTGGATAGTTGTTACTTGGTATGACTACCTTGTGATGATACTACAGTAAATTTCAGGGTATAGGTGCCTAGGCATATATTAACCCATTACAGTTCTGCCCCTTTCTATCGTAGGTTGCCTTCAATAAAGCATAATATTACTTTATGGATAAATATATCAAGGTCTGAAAAGGAGGCTTCCTTCCTCACTATGATCCTTTAAACCCATCCATCCAACCACTATCTCTTGAGTGACGGGGGCAGCCTCCTCCCGGGTGGACCTCCCCAGGGAGGCATCTAAGAGGAATGACTGTGTAGATGGAGTATAGATGGCTGAAGCACCTCAGCTGGTTCCTTTCAATGTGAAGGAGCAGCGGCTCTCATATGGAATGTCTGAGCTCCTCACACTAACTTTAAGGCTGAGCCCAGACACCCTGTGAAAGAAGCTTGATATCCACTGCTTGATTCTGCAATCTTGTTCTTTCGGTCACTACCCAGAGCTCGTGACCATAGGCAAGGAACGTAGATTAATCAGTAAAACAACGGCTTCGCCTTCCGACTTCGTCACCACAGCTGATCCGTAAAATGTCCACAAGAGTGCTGATGCTGCACCGATCCGCCTGTTGATCTCCCGCTCCCTTCTTCCATCACTCATGAACAAACCTTTCAGATAGAGTCACATCAACACAAAACCAGAAACCTGCATGTTTTTATACAGCAATATTTTGTCTAATATTGATACTTATTGTGGAGACCTTTGCTTGCTATGTTTATACATTTAAAGTAATCTCTATATTTCACAAACACATGCTTATATATACACACATTAGTAAGTACACACCTTCTTAGCTGATCCATTACACACCAGGTATTTACACACAGACACACCAGTGAAAAAGTTTACGTAGGGCGTCCTTGTTGGATGTCTATTGATGTGAACTTCACAATGATCTACTGAATGTTTATGTCTGGGCTGTTTTTTAGCCATCACTTGTGAATAACTACTTACAAGTACAGTTTGTCCTAGGGCATGTAAACTCATTCATTCCAATTGTTTAAAACAAAGAGCCATTCACTGGTTAAATGCACTGCTACAAAGCCATAACTAAAAGACTAGAGATCATATGCAAATAATAAAGGAAAGTCTTATGTTGTCCCATAAGGGAAGTTGCTAGACAAGCCATCCTTTGCCTACCCGAGCTAAATTTCATTCTTTGGTAATTGTCATATTTTATTCTGTCAAAGGATGCTTTATATTTTATTGTTTTATTTATTTTTTAATAAATAAAAATAAAAATGGGAAATATTACCTTTGTTACTAGATGTCTCAGAAATGTTCTGTCACCTATTAAAATTAATGTGTTTCATGATATGCGGGGGGGGGGGGTGGTTGACTAAGGTGTAGGCTGGGTGTGGCTCTATGCCTTTTATCAAGTGGTTGTTGGTTCAAACCACATGGCTAGCAGTACAATCTTGCGCTCATCCCCAATAGCTCCTGGGAGACTGCCTAACCCTGATGTCTATAGTTCAGTTGTACCTCACTTTGGACAAAAGTGTCCAGTAAATATATGTGATGTTCTTAGGTCTGAAGTTTCTTATTTTGTGAAATCAATGTTTTTTTTTCTATTGTGATATAGAAACATATTGCATTGCTTCTTATACAGTATAAGGCCACAACGTGTCTGCAGTCCATCCCAGAAAATACAGGGCAGAATGTGGGGAGGCACCCTGGATGGGATGCCAGTCAATCACAGGGTTAGGGACAATGGGAGGTTTTTAGATGTCAATTCATAGAATTTGGGTTTTGGGCTGCAGGAGAAAAGTTGTTGGACAAAGGAAGTAGAAACAAGCTGAAAAACAGAGACACAGAGCCAAGATCCAGATGCTGAGCCATCCAAACACCCAACACTGAGCTGCCTGAAACGTCGATCTATGACCATGAAATGATTACAAAATACTTTAAAAACGGTGACCATTACTCTTTGCAACCATGTCCCAGATAAGTAGTCACAAGGATGGATAGATGGATGGATGCATGGATTGAGGATGGATGGAAACAATGTATCAGTCGTTTGTCTTGTTTTCTGCTTTGCAATAAATATCAATTCTGTTATTAATATCTCAGAACGTTGTTCCTCACCAATCTCTATCAGACACATGTGAGCTCTGAAAGCATGGCGCTCCACAGCAGCAGCCGTTAGCCCTGCCCCCCCATTCTGTGTTACCTGTGCAGGCTGTGTCGTTGGCATCATTAGGGGCTCGGTAAAATCCGCTTCTGCACTCACACATCCTGGACCCTTCTGTGCTGGTTCTGCTATTAGCCGGACATGGGGAACAGGGCAGCGACCCTGGCACGGCCTTGAAATGACCCACCTGGCAGCCTGCAAGGAGGAGAAGAGGGTCAATTAAAGGTCAGTGGAAATCTCTGCTCGGGTTAATGCTTCGAAGTGGTAAAATATTATCACACTAGAAGACCCTCATGATGAAGTTTCTCCAGGCATGTGCCTGCCTTGTGTAGCGCTCGGTCGTTACATTACAGGGCGAGTACAGAGCGGTGTGCTCACAGCTACAGCACTGGCTCAGCCCAGCTGACGCTGCTTGCACATACTCCATGATGTTTGCACAGAGCTGATTAGCTGTTAGCACAGAGCACTTCCTCAGCATGTCTGTTACATACCTATCCATCGAGTGCTATTTACTACATTTAAATTTCTTGCCCTCACTGGATCAGCTAATTAGATAGCAGTATTGATTTGTTTTCATGCTCATTTAATTAGCAATAGCTTATTAGAAATAGCTCTGTAAGGAATGACTGGTCCAAATGGTGGCATAACTACCTGTATTTTAACATTGTGGTTGTTAAATATCCTTGCTGGTACAAATATTCTAATATTAGGTGTACTACAGAATGGAGAATATACACATGGCATGGTTTTAATGACACTGATGACTGGGTCCTTGTACCTGCCTGTGAGATTTACACGCCCAAAGGGTAATACTGCGGCATTTCCAGTGACCTTCTTCTGACAGTCCTTGAGTCTCATGAGTGTGATCCTAAGCAGCGGCTGCCCAGGGCAGGAGGGGACAAAGGCATTCAAATGACTAAGAGGCTTTCCCTGTTCTCACTATTTTTTCTGACTTTGGGAATAGGCGATGAAGAGGATGACAGAAGAAAGGAGAGAGAAGAGAGGCCTGCCTTCATCTATCATTCATGCTGTTGAATCACATTACCGAACGTGTTCAGATACGACTGTGATAAGCAGCAAGATGTGCCTACAAGACCACTCTGATTGGTACCACTGCATCTGACAACACCAGCTCTACTTCAACTCTCTCCCCCATCTTAGCCAATCAAATTGCTTCTACTTATGGCCCTCCCCTTTGCCTCCTTGCTCCATGAGCCTGTATCCTGCTATTTAGTATGGACCCTCTCCTTTCGCATCCCCTTATTAAAATTTGATTTCCATCAACATTCTATGAACAACATGCTGGGCATTTCAGTTTGGGAATGTTAAAGTGACACCTTGGAGGTTTGCATGCCAATGAAGAGTGGTCTGACAGAGAGAACCGGATGCTGTGGTGTACATGCGGAGACAAGAGGGAGGAAGAGAGGAAGGAGAGGGAGAGTAGGGGGGTGGTGGTGGATGGGCAACACTGAGTATCAGAGCTGGGGAAAAAGGAGAGCGAGATGGCAACGAAGTGTATAATTTGGTGCTGACATGGTACTTGGAATTTAGATCACTGACCCAATTTCTCTCTCCCTTTCTCTCTCACTCTCTCTCTCGTTCACTCTCCTCCCTGCTCACTCCCAGCATTATAATCTTTCTGACACAAAAACACACAATTTGTTTGTCTTTAACATATTTATACTGTCTTAAAAGCACATGTGTACCACATTTGTTCATATGTGTTCATAAATGGCACAAAACCTAACTCACAGGAAGTCCTGCCTACTTGTGTTTTTTGTGCTCTGATCACAGTTAAATTGATGGATATAACCAAAACCAACAAATGAATATTCCCCCAAAACAAACATGATGGTTAAGTTCATAATCATTGGGGTTTTTTGTCAGAAAAATCTGCACAGTATGAAAAAACATCACTTCAGGCAGTACTGTGGAAAGTTTTTTTTAAGATGCACAACTATCCATCCATTTTCTGAAACTGTTTATCCAATTCCGGGTCACAAGGAATCCAGAGCCTATGGGTGCAAGGCAGGGAACAACCCTGTATGGGGAACCAACCCATTGCAGGGCACACTCACACACCATGCACAGCTTTGGGCAATTTGGTATCTCAATTTAGCCTCAGTATGTTTCTGTACTGTAGGGGAAAGGTAGAGCACTCAAATGAAACCCCCTGACAACACAGGGACTCCACACACATGGAACACGGGCAGACTTGAACTCATGTCCCAGAAGGGAGAGGCAGCAGTCCTAACCAGCCCTGATGCCAGCCCTGATGTGCAACTAAAATATTAATGTATTAATATAATTGAAAAAATAAAAAAAATCTATACAACGTGGAATTTATGATAATAACGAGTACTGTGGAAATAAATGTAGGCATATCAACATAAAAACACTCCTTGTATAGACTGCACAAGAGTGGAAGAATTATGTGAATCATAAATTTAAATTTATTGACTTTTATGAATTTAAAAGTCAGTGTCCCATCCATCCATCCATCCATCCATTTTCTGGACCCACTTGATTGATGCACTGGAGAAATATTCTAATGTATACACTTTCCTATACACATACATACACTGCAGAAATGGCAATTAATAACACATCATTGACACACATATATAAAGATGGGAATGTAATTACTAAGTATCTTTTTAGGCTAGCTGGCCGACGCAAGCCCTGGTTTCCAGACCTCAGCATTGGCATGTTTCTGAGCACCTGCCTCTGTGTCTTGAGCCTCTGAAACCCAGGCTGGCTCGACAATTTGCAAGACAAGTCATTTTACTTGGCGTCCACATCTGCGCTTGGAAGAAATCTGTCGCTCTCCCTGAAAATGACATGGAAATTCTGACCCGCTAGCCTAATCAGGAAAATGTGCTACTTTGAGTGGGTGTTCTACAAACCAGCCTTGTTTTCTGGCCTTGTACTTTTAACACAGATCAGGTTGCGTTCTGTCATTACAATCAGCATTCAGATCTGTCATTATTTTTCAGAGAGGTTTTTTTTTTTTAAAAAGCGAAGACTTCCCAAGGCATGAGTTATATAGGAGAGGTGCCAAAAGCAACAGCAGACAATGATTTCTGTGAGTGTGTGTGTAAGTGTGTGTATGTGTNACAGCCTTTTATGCTATTTACTTTACATTCTCAGTGTTCTAGCCTGGCCCCTCCTCACTCTCACCTGATTGGCTGGTGGTGAAGTTGATGCTGGCATATTGAGGTGGGTAGGGACTCAAAGCCGATACGTCATTTATTGCTTGAACCTGTTAATAAAAAACAGAAAGCAGACCAACTCTGCCCATTGATACATGCTGTGGCACACAGTGACATAGAAGAAAGAGCACTGCATTCCACTTTGTATCGCTTCAGACTAAATTCACTTAAAATGATAAACTATAATAAAATTATGAGTGAAAGTCTCTTTGAATTATGATATCATTTCATACATTACACTGGTTCTTTCTCTTTCATGCAGCCGACTGGTTAAGGATACATGGCCCAGTTTTGGGAATCATGGGTAATGTACCTGTATGAGGTAGGTGACCCGTGTGAGCAGGTTGTTGAGTGTAACCTTAGTCTGTTGAAGGCGTGTCTGCGATGGGGTGTAGCTCACTGCTTCCCCACACCATGAGCACACTCCCGGGGACAGCATAGAGGCAGAGGGGCAGATTCGGCACACAATGGTATACCACACCTCTCGCCGACCCCCTGTGTCTAAGGGTGGACGCCAGCGCAGGGACACTCCACCTTCCCCGCTCTCATACTCCCAGGAGAGAGACAGGGGTGCCGATGGAGGACCTGCAGAAGGTGGAGGAGGTTTAGGAAGAAATGGCAAAAACACCAATCAGTTTTCATCTGACGAATCACTGGAAAGCCCCGCCCCCAGCCCTTCATTAGACAACTGGATAGTTGTTACTTGGTATGACTACCTTGTGATGATACTACAGTAAATTTCAGGGTATAGGTGCCTAGGCATATATTAACCCATTACAGTTCTGCCCCTTTCTATCGTAGGTTGCCTTCAATAAAGCATAATATTACTTTATGGATAAATATATCAAGGTCTGAAAAGGAGGCTTCCTTCCTCACTATGATCCTTTAAACCCATCCATCCAACCACTATCTCTTGAGTGACGGGGGCAGCCTCCTCCCGGGTGGACCTCCCCAGGGAGGCATCTAAGAGGAATGACTGTGTAGATGGAGTATAGATGGCTGAAGCACCTCAGCTGGTTCCTTTCAATGTGAAGGAGCAGCGGCTCTCATATGGAATGTCTGAGCTCCTCACACTAACTTTAAGGCTGAGCCCAGACACCCTGTGAAAGAAGCTTGATATCCACTGCTTGATTCTGCAATCTTGTTCTTTCGGTCACTACCCAGAGCTCGTGACCATAGGCAAGGAACGTAGATTAATCAGTAAAACAACGGCTTCGCCTTCCGACTTCGTCACCACAGCTGATCCGTAAAATGTCCACAAGAGTGCTGATGCTGCACCGATCCGCCTGTTGATCTCCCGCTCCCTTCTTCCATCACTCATGAACAAACCTTTCAGATAGAGTCACATCAACACAAAACCAGAAACCTGCATGTTTTTATACAGCAATATTTTGTCTAATATTGATACTTATTGTGGAGACCTTTGCTTGCTATGTTTATACATTTAAAGTAATCTCTATATTTCACAAACACATGCTTATATATACACACATTAGTAAGTACACACCTTCTTAGCTGATCCATTACACACCAGGTATTTACACACAGACACACCAGTGAAAAAGTTTACGTAGGGCGTCCTTGTTGGATGTCTATTGATGTGAACTTCACAATGATCTACTGAATGTTTATGTCTGGGCTGTTTTTTAGCCATCACTTGTGAATAACTACTTACAAGTACAGTTTGTCCTAGGGCATGTAAACTCATTCATTCCAATTGTTTAAAACAAAGAGCCATTCACTGGTTAAATGCACTGCTACAAAGCCATAACTAAAAGACTAGAGATCATATGCAAATAATAAAGGAAAGTCTTATGTTGTCCCATAAGGGAAGTTGCTAGACAAGCCATCCTTTGCCTACCCGAGCTAAATTTCATTCTTTGGTAATTGTCATATTTTATTCTGTCAAAGGATGCTTTATATTTTATTGTTTTATTTATTTTTTAATAAATAAAAATAAAAATGGGAAATATTACCTTTGTTACTAGATGTCTCAGAAATGTTCTGTCACCTATTAAAATTAATGTGTTTCATGATATGCGGGGGGGGGGGGTGGTTGACTAAGGTGTAGGCTGGGTGTGGCTCTATGCCTTTTATCAAGTGGTTGTTGGTTCAAACCACATGGCTAGCAGTACAATCTTGCGCTCATCCCCAATAGCTCCTGGGAGACTGCCTAACCCTGATGTCTATAGTTCAGTTGTACCTCACTTTGGACAAAAGTGTCCAGTAAATATATGTGATGTTCTTAGGTCTGAAGTTTCTTATTTTGTGAAATCAATGTTTTTTTTTCTATTGTGATATAGAAACATATTGCATTGCTTCTTATACAGTATAAGGCCACAACGTGTCTGCAGTCCATCCCAGAAAATACAGGGCAGAATGTGGGGAGGCACCCTGGATGGGATGCCAGTCAATCACAGGGTTAGGGACAATGGGAGGTTTTTAGATGTCAATTCATAGAATTTGGGTTTTGGGCTGCAGGAGAAAAGTTGTTGGACAAAGGAAGTAGAAACAAGCTGAAAAACAGAGACACAGAGCCAAGATCCAGATGCTGAGCCATCCAAACACCCAACACTGAGCTGCCTGAAACGTCGATCTATGACCATGAAATGATTACAAAATACTTTAAAAACGGTGACCATTACTCTTTGCAACCATGTCCCAGATAAGTAGTCACAAGGATGGATAGATGGATGGATGCATGGATTGAGGATGGATGGAAACAATGTATCAGTCGTTTGTCTTGTTTTCTGCTTTGCAATAAATATCAATTCTGTTATTAATATCTCAGAACGTTGTTCCTCACCAATCTCTATCAGACACATGTGAGCTCTGAAAGCATGGCGCTCCACAGCAGCAGCCGTTAGCCCTGCCCCCCCATTCTGTGTTACCTGTGCAGGCTGTGTCGTTGGCATCATTAGGGGCTCGGTAAAATCCGCTTCTGCACTCACACATCCTGGACCCTTCTGTGCTGGTTCTGCTATTAGCCGGACATGGGGAACAGGGCAGCGACCCTGGCACGGCCTTGAAATGACCCACCTGGCAGCCTGCAAGGAGGAGAAGAGGGTCAATTAAAGGTCAGTGGAAATCTCTGCTCGGGTTAATGCTTCGAAGTGGTAAAATATTATCACACTAGAAGACCCTCATGATGAAGTTTCTCCAGGCATGTGCCTGCCTTGTGTAGCGCTCGGTCGTTACATTACAGGGCGAGTACAGAGCGGTGTGCTCACAGCTACAGCACTGGCTCAGCCCAGCTGACGCTGCTTGCACATACTCCATGATGTTTGCACAGAGCTGATTAGCTGTTAGCACAGAGCACTTCCTCAGCATGTCTGTTACATACCTATCCATCGAGTGCTATTTACTACATTTAAATTTCTTGCCCTCACTGGATCAGCTAATTAGATAGCAGTATTGATTTGTTTTCATGCTCATTTAATTAGCAATAGCTTATTAGAAATAGCTCTGTAAGGAATGACTGGTCCAAATGGTGGCATAACTACCTGTATTTTAACATTGTGGTTGTTAAATATCCTTGCTGGTACAAATATTCTAATATTAGGTGTACTACAGAATGGAGAATATACACATGGCATGGTTTTAATGACACTGATGACTGGGTCCTTGTACCTGCCTGTGAGATTTACACGCCCAAAGGGTAATACTGCGGCATTTCCAGTGACCTTCTTCTGACAGTCCTTGAGTCTCATGAGTGTGATCCTAAGCAGCGGCTGCCCAGGGCAGGAGGGGACAAAGGCATTCAAATGACTAAGAGGCTTTCCCTGTTCTCACTATTTTTTCTGACTTTGGGAATAGGCGATGAAGAGGATGACAGAAGAAAGGAGAGAGAAGAGAGGCCTGCCTTCATCTATCATTCATGCTGTTGAATCACATTACCGAACGTGTTCAGATACGACTGTGATAAGCAGCAAGATGTGCCTACAAGACCACTCTGATTGGTACCACTGCATCTGACAACACCAGCTCTACTTCAACTCTCTCCCCCATCTTAGCCAATCAAATTGCTTCTACTTATGGCCCTCCCCTTTGCCTCCTTGCTCCATGAGCCTGTATCCTGCTATTTAGTATGGACCCTCTCCTTTCGCATCCCCTTATTAAAATTTGATTTCCATCAACATTCTATGAACAACATGCTGGGCATTTCAGTTTGGGAATGTTAAAGTGACACCTTGGAGGTTTGCATGCCAATGAAGAGTGGTCTGACAGAGAGAACCGGATGCTGTGGTGTACATGCGGAGACAAGAGGGAGGAAGAGAGGAAGGAGAGGGAGAGTAGGGGGGTGGTGGTGGATGGGCAACACTGAGTATCAGAGCTGGGGAAAAAGGAGAGCGAGATGGCAACGAAGTGTATAATTTGGTGCTGACATGGTACTTGGAATTTAGATCACTGACCCAATTTCTCTCTCCCTTTCTCTCTCACTCTCTCTCTCGTTCACTCTCCTCCCTGCTCACTCCCAGCATTATAATCTTTCTGACACAAAAACACACAATTTGTTTGTCTTTAACATATTTATACTGTCTTAAAAGCACATGTGTACCACATTTGTTCATATGTGTTCATAAATGGCACAAAACCTAACTCACAGGAAGTCCTGCCTACTTGTGTTTTTTGTGCTCTGATCACAGTTAAATTGATGGATATAACCAAAACCAACAAATGAATATTCCCCCAAAACAAACATGATGGTTAAGTTCATAATCATTGGGGTTTTTTGTCAGAAAAATCTGCACAGTATGAAAAAACATCACTTCAGGCAGTACTGTGGAAAGTTTTTTTTAAGATGCACAACTATCCATCCATTTTCTGAAACTGTTTATCCAATTCCGGGTCACAAGGAATCCAGAGCCTATGGGTGCAAGGCAGGGAACAACCCTGTATGGGGAACCAACCCATTGCAGGGCACACTCACACACCATGCACAGCTTTGGGCAATTTGGTATCTCAATTTAGCCTCAGTATGTTTCTGTACTGTAGGGGAAAGGTAGAGCACTCAAATGAAACCCCCTGACAACACAGGGACTCCACACACATGGAACACGGGCAGACTTGAACTCATGTCCCAGAAGGGAGAGGCAGCAGTCCTAACCAGCCCTGATGCCAGCCCTGATGTGCAACTAAAATATTAATGTATTAATATAATTGAAAAAATAAAAAAAATCTATACAACGTGGAATTTATGATAATAACGAGTACTGTGGAAATAAATGTAGGCATATCAACATAAAAACACTCCTTGTATAGACTGCACAAGAGTGGAAGAATTATGTGAATCATAAATTTAAATTTATTGACTTTTATGAATTTAAAAGTCAGTGTCCCATCCATCCATCCATCCATCCATTTTCTGGACCCACTTGATTGATGCACTGGAGAAATATTCTAATGTATACACTTTCCTATACACATACATACACTGCAGAAATGGCAATTAATAACACATCATTGACACACATATATAAAGATGGGAATGTAATTACTAAGTATCTTTTTAGGCTAGCTGGCCGACGCAAGCCCTGGTTTCCAGACCTCAGCATTGGCATGTTTCTGAGCACCTGCCTCTGTGTCTTGAGCCTCTGAAACCCAGGCTGGCTCGACAATTTGCAAGACAAGTCATTTTACTTGGCGTCCACATCTGCGCTTGGAAGAAATCTGTCGCTCTCCCTGAAAATGACATGGAAATTCTGACCCGCTAGCCTAATCAGGAAAATGTGCTACTTTGAGTGGGTGTTCTACAAACCAGCCTTGTTTTCTGGCCTTGTACTTTTAACACAGATCAGGTTGCGTTCTGTCATTACAATCAGCATTCAGATCTGTCATTATTTTTCAGAGAGGTTTTTTTTTTTTAAAAAGCGAAGACTTCCCAAGGCATGAGTTATATAGGAGAGGTGCCAAAAGCAACAGCAGACAATGATTTCTGTGAGTGTGTGTGTAAGTGTGTGTATGTGTATATATATATATATATATATATATATATATATATATATATATATACACACATGCATACACACACACAAACACACACCCATCCACACACACACAACCGCGGACAAAATTAAGAAACCATGGCACAATTTTTTGTTTCATTCATTTCTCAATTTATGGCCGTGGATCTGTGAATAATATATAGAACTCCGGATCGAATCCTAAAAAGTTCGAGTTCTGATCGAATTTTCCCCATAAGAAATAATGGAAAACCAATTAATTGGTTCCCGGCCCCCAAAAAATTACACCTAAATATGTTTTTTTAGCATTTAAACACAAAATGAACCAGATAAAACAAGAAGAGCATATACTGTACTAAAGCCGCCATCTAAGCACATTTATCAAAACAATAATTTGTAAAGTAAGAAAATAAATGTATCCAAACAATGTGTAAAGTTAAAAAAAACAATGTGTCCTCCCCCGATCGTCCGCTCCATCCGTGTGCCACGCCCCTTCGTTAACCCCGTGTGGAATCCCCGTGTGATCAGCTGTTTCTAATTGTTTTTATTAGCTCTCTGTATTCCGTCCGCGTTTCAGTTTGCTTCCCCAGTCCGGTCATTGTATTGTCTGTCTGTGTTTTGCCTGCCTTACCTGTAATTAAACCCCGTATTCCCCAGTACCCTGACGTCCGCGCCTTTGTCTCCGTTCCGTCCCCGCTCGGCACGACAATATTATTATAATTAAATGTATTAATTATATTATTAATATTAAAATAATTAATATAGAAATCTTTATTTTAAAATGTATTTTATTATATAATAATAATTACTCTTACTGTCTATCATTGTCTAAATGTATTTTTACTGTCTAAATATATGTATTCAGCTTGTGTAAACATGCACGATGCTATCACAGCGAATGCGAGGCTGATACTGAAGCTTTGCCCTTTGTTTCCACCGAGAGACGTGCCGCGTGAGTCATTTCCCCACGCTTACAACTTACATCTTAGGTCGGCGTTCACGGTTTGACTTCTGAGATTCAGCTCAAGTACTAGGTAATTTTTTTCCGAAGTGGTTCGTTCGACTTCTAAGATATTCGAGTTCTAATTTTATATATATATATATATATATATAATTTTATTTTTTTTCCTGCAAACTGCAGTCTGGTTCTTCCCTGTTTCTCATTAATGAAGGGCTTCTTCCTTGCTCTATGGGACTTCAGTCCTGTTTCTATGAGTCTGATATGAACTGTCCTAGCGGTGCACTTCACACCTGTACTTAATGTTTCTCATTCCTTTTGAAGGTCACTTCATGTAGTCCTATGATTCATAAGAAACTGTTGGATAAGTTAATGGTCATCTCTGGTTTCTTGTCATTCCCAGTGTCTCCTGCATCACTTTGTTCTTGCATACTGCTGTCATATCAATTTTGGACGTGGAAGCAACCTGCTGCTCAGCATAGCCTTCTGCCAGCAGAACCACAATTAAACCAGTATTTAAAAATACAGATTTGTTTAAAAATATAGAGAGGTCTCAATTTTTTTTGCAGTTGTGTATTATACAGGCATTGATGTTTGGGATAAGTGTGGAGAGTAATAATATATTTGAATAATAATAACAATGGAGAAATATACAGTGCATATATCCATGCACCCATCCATGTTCGGGTTACCCGCTTATCCTGGTCGTGGGGTGGAGGAGGAGGGAGTCACTCCAGCCATGGAGCCTATCCTAGGCAGCATAGGGTGGCAGCATAGGACACAAGGCTGGGCACACCCTGCATGCATATACACTCACCTAAAGGATTATTAGGAACACCTGTTCAATTTCTCATTAATGCAATTATCTAATCAACCAATCACATGGCAGTTGCTTCA